ATGTTTTAGAATGTTTTTATTACAACACATACAAGTTAGAAGTTTGGCTAGATATAAACCATGCTTAATTTTTTTTTTTTTTCATAAGGAATACCTGTACCAAGTAAGAAAAATGACAGTTGTTTTCCATTCGTTTGAGATGATTAGCTTTTGATTTTGCTATTTGATAAAGGACACTCCGTTTTGAATTCTCTTTGGAGTTGTCAACATTTTTGCGCTATTTGTGTTTCAATGGACCATCAGCATTAGTCCTGTGTATGCTGTGTTTAAAATATATAGTTATGTCTTTGAAATGAATCGAATCAAAGTTTTGTACCTTTAGGGAACGGTAATGCAAATTGTGTTTGTCATATTCTGAATAGGTCGTGAATTTACTAGAATGTAATGGGATTCAACTGTAAATATTGCATACGTTTTAATATGTTTATTATCTAGCTTGCTTTTTTCACTTACCATGACTATTAGCAAAATTCCATTGAGAAAAAGCATTTCAAACACAATTAATAGACATTATTCATCTGTGTGTATCATTGACAGTTAGTTTATCGGATTAGAACAACTTGAGTGCGAGGCTATGTGCAAAATAGAGATAAAATAGAAAATTTGACATAAGTCAAGTGTGCTGATTTATGACATTATTTGTTGACATAAATAGCTTTGTCAAAAATGTATTCTCCGTGCAATTTTCCCAATTCTAAAGGAGGCTCCGTAAATCCTGCAAGTATTGAGATGAGAGAGTGCGAAATATATTTGTTTTTTTTGATAACTCAAAATGATAAACAATAAGTTAGTGTTAGAATATAAATATGACACATTATCCGTGATTTAAAGTTTCATTTGAATGGCTCCTTTTGTTTTGATATTTAGTGATCCTTTAAAGCTTAACATACCCGTTAGGTTTTACTCGTCATTGGAATTTGTATGGTAATCTCAAGATTTTTATATAGCTTTTATTTAGTGTTTAAATATTAGGTGTATCATTAGTTGTATCATTAGTTGCATATTAGTGTTTTTACTAATATGTCAAATGGCAAATATCACATACATATTCAGTAAAGGAATACGTACACACAAAAAGTTATTTCGCAATGACTTCAGGCCTTTCTATAAGTTATAAAAGGGAAAGTCTATGTGCAGAAAGAGAAAGAAAGAGACTTATTGTCTCATCTGCAATAATATCTTGTTTTTTATTCGTATAATTATACCCCAATTGTGCAAGGAGTGGTGTAAACACAAAATGATGAGTAAACATCAATGAAGCTAGAACTTAACCATGTAAATCTTCTGTCTGAAAATTATCACCCGTTCTCCCGTTCAATCGCTATTACGATAAGTTACACTATTAGGTGTTTTCATTTGGATATATTATATATCAAAATAATTTGTAATGATATAAGATGTAGAGGATTCTCAAAAGGTCTATTTAAAAGATTAAATGATTATTCTTTTAAGGATTGTTAACCACCAATTTCATCGTTTTAATTCGTGTTAATTCATAAAAAGAATATCCTTGTCAATTAATAATTTCAGTCGTTGTTTCTCATTTCCAGATTTATTTTATTGTAAATCTTTGTGGCATAACATGAAAATTAATATCAATGTCTTGTTCTATAATTTGAAATTTGCTTATGCTTATCATTTTCTAGATAAATATAGGATAGCGAAAAATGACCGGTCCATTGAGGAAATACGTAAATAAGTACTCAGTTATAATATGTACGCGATAAATCAGAGGTAAAATGTCTTGGTTCAGCTACTGTGTCTATATGTTTACGGGCGCTCGTCATATTGTATCTTGTAGAAGTGTTTTGTGATCACCTTGTGGTGTTTCATTTTTCGCTCAGATTTCCTTATTTTCATATTAAACAAGTCACCATTTACTTCCATACCAATTTTCTACATATTAAAAAAGAACTAAACTTAAATGGGAAAGACAATACAAACATGACACCAATGACATTTCTGGATCAAATGCATTGTTTAAAAATTTGAACCCGGAAGAGCTATCTATATACATAAATACATTTTTCCTTTTGTAAATATATGTACAATTATCTAATAAGGTCGTCTTAAGTGACATGGATAGTGATCATTGTACATACAACTAATCATTTACTACATAATCATTTATCAATGAACAATACTGTGATATTTGCTATCCCAATGTGTAATCAAAGTTGTCAAGAATTCAATTTCTCAGAAACAACAGATGCAAAGAGCATATAAAAAGACTTTAAAAGAATTTTACTCTCTTTTTTTTTTTGAAAAATCTAGAATATATTCATAAGCTGTCTTCTGATCATACAGTAAATCCCAAGTGTTATTTCGCTATTTAAGAGTTAACAAGTTAATCAATCTATTTTCTAAGGGTCAATCGTCTTTGTTCTTCACTGTACCATAAAAACAAACATAAATTACATTAGAAAAAAGCGATAACTGTCGTAGCCTTTTGCTTCAATATCAGTGCTAAATAAGCAGTTGTATATTTTTATTTTCGGGTTTGTAACAATAAATTCTAACAAAACTTTCACTGGCATGTTGTTCCAAATGGTGAAGTTGAAATGATCCCTTCATAAGTTTTACGGACGCCATCACCAGTTTCACAGATGATAGCGGATATGTTCTATTGTCGTAACTACAATCCCGTCCACTTTTCACGAATGTGACTTACCGAATTAGACTTGTAACCGGGTTTATACTAACATGAACAACACAACGGGTGCCACATGTGGAGCAGGATCTGCTTATCCTTCCGGGGCACATGAGAAGATCCCCGGTGTTTGGTGGAGTTCGTGTTGTATAGTGTTTAGTTTTCTATGATGTGTTTTGTGTACTATTGCTTGTCTGTTTGTCTGTTTCATTTTTAGCCATGAAGTTGTCAGTTTAATTTCGATTTATGAATTTGAATGTCTCTCTAATATATTTTGCCCATCATTTATATTATGCCTCATTTACAATCTAATATCCTAGCTAGTACCCATTTATCTTTATTTTGCCATTTTGCATAAAAAGACAAAAAAGCAATATTTTAAAAGCATTAAATACTTTTAGTTTAAAGGGTCAGTATCTACACTTTGAATCATTTTCGTACGTTGATAGATCTTTATACTTAAAACATCATAAGCATGAATATTTATGAATAAACACAAAACGCATAAATTGGTCCTTTGCAAACGGTCCTATAGAATTATAATTCTGTTGTTTTAACCGCTCATCCACCGATTTGTGATTCTCTTGAAAGCTTCAATGTTTGCATTATTTAAATGATATATTTCCATTATAATGTAACGTTGACATGGTATGTTACCAAATTTGCAACTTCCCTTGTCAATGGCACATCAGAAGAGATGTGACAATTTTATCCATGTCCTTTTTGCTTTGAATCTACGAAACATTTATATTATTAGCACCCGAAACGTTCGGTCTTGACTGTTCCTCTTTCAATGTCAGATAACAAAAATTGTTAGACTGAATGAAGATAATTCAGAGTAGCTGCTAATACTATTTTGTTTGTACTTAAAATTATGTGTTAATTAAGATAATGTGCATACTTCATGAGATTGAGGGTTCTCTACCCCCAGGAACAGATGGCGTTAGCATTATTTCCTCATTTTTCGAACATTTGGCTTCTTAATGTTCTTGAGTATCGTATTTGATTGTGTTTTCAGACTGATTTGATTTGAGTGCGACTGATGAGTCTCAAACGTAAAATAACAAAAATACCAAACTCCAAGGAAAATTCTAAACGGAAAGTCCTTTATCAAATGGCAAAATCAAAAGCTCAAACGCATCAAACGAATAGAAAACAACTTTTGTATTCCTGACTTGGTACATACGCTTCCTTATGTAGAAAATGGTTGGCTTAAACCTGGTTTTATAGCTAACTAAACCTCTCACTTGTATGACAGTCGAATATAATTGTATTATATTGACAACAATATGTGAGCAAAATAAACAGACGTAATAAGTAAAAATGCAAAAAATTGGGGTAATCTTAATCACTATAAAACAAATAACTATTTCCACAAGAAAAAACAAAATTGCATATTGACACTCTATAGACAAAGTATATCAGCAAAAATGAAAGACGAGAATACAAAAAAGTACATAGCACAATTACACAATGGCGGGATATATAAATACCGAGTCAAAAGTGTATTACCAAAAATGGACTAAACAGTAAAGATTAATATATACAAAGACAAATAAAAAGAACACTATAACACGTATTTAAGATGATAAACAACGTCAGTACCTAGAATTAATTTATAGACGAACCGTGCGCTTATCGTAAAAGTTATAAACCTGGTATCTGTAATGAGTGTTTACTGGATTGATTACACAGCTGGTGCCAAGTTTAGTGCCTGAGTGTGTATACATGGAATAATAATAATAATATGGAAAATTTCTGTAAATTTTCTGTTAACATCACTTTAAATTAAAATTGTGCTTACATAAAATATTAATAATAAGGAAAATTTCTGTAAAATTTCTGTTTAATACGTAATTTTTAAATTAAAATTCGAAACATTAAGTTTATATTAGCCTCAGACATGTCAGACACATGGCCTTAGCCGTATGTGGTAAAACTTTTTTTTATTTTCTTTAATTTTCGTTCGATAATATCAAATTCCTTTTTTGATTATGTTTAACAAGATTATAATGAAATGACATAAATTATGTTGGTATTGAAAAAAAATTCTTCTTTTTGTGAATACGATTTAAATGTACATTAGGTAAATAATATTTACATACAAGTATACAAAACAAAATCATGTCAGTTTATTCGCATTAAACAATTCTTTTATTGATGAAATGTAAATATAGACAGTTTTATCTATTCATCAGATATCTGAAACACCGATCTGGATTATTGAATTTAATTCATCTACAAATAGCTTATGTATTGATTTGTGCTCCACGGAGAAAAAAAGAAAATAATGACTATCAAAATTTCTTTATCTGAATTGATTTAACAAAGTTATGATGACGAAGAAATATCTAAGATGACCGTGATGTGGATGTCTGATTGATAGGGGAAGCGATCATTTAAGCATGGATCAGAGATAAACACACAAAGTAAGTCATCAACTGAAATCAGAGTAACACACAAGACTATATGAATAACAGACGTAACATATGATTATTTTCGTATTCCCTAGAACTGCATTACTAATATTCTTTTCTGGAAATTAAATGTTGCTGTTAGACTACTTTATCATTTTCATTTCTATTTTCTGATCTGAGAGTTGATGAATAATCGTAGTTCCGTCTTGCGATACTGTGTCTGTATGATCATACGCATCGTTTTCAAATTGAAGTTTTCTTTCTCCAAAATTAGAACTGTCGTAATTTGGGTCATTTTCGTTACGATTCCCTGCCATTGTCGTCATATAAATTTTCTTTTGAATCTGTTCGCCGTTTCGATACACCATTTAATCAATCATAGTCTCCGTATGATGTTTCAATATACGTTTTTGATCCGAATTTTGTAATTTTGAATCCGTTTTTCTGATTTTGTTGATGCGTGCATACGTATTGCTTGAATTGATTGAAGCTAAGCCATATGATTCTTTAGATGTCGGCGTCACACTTGTTCTAACTTCTGGATTTTGTAAATGCTCATAGAACTATATTGAGGACTTCTTGCCTATCCGTATTAGACGTTTTGAAAAATCCACATGACCTAAAAAAATAACATGTAATGTTAGATCTATCTGTGAAAACAAGTAGAAGATACAAAAGGAATATTAATAGTTTTAAGTCGAACACAAACAGACAATACTGTAAATAAAAAAATAAAAAGATCGAAAAAAGAAGGAAGTCGACAATTCCATAAAATAACATACTGATAACTAGGGAGTCAGCAACAAAACGCCACATACCCTGGGAAAAATAAGAAGTTTCCAGGCACGCATTTCAGTTTACAGCGGTTTAAAAATGATACATATCCGTGTGTAATAGTGCATCAGCGTATGACTTAGTTAGTCACAAGGTATTATATTTAGGTTAGGGTGAATAACTAAGAAATTTGATATATTTACCAACAGCAAATTCAGATTTATTTTTATAACAGTAAATGTTAAGGAAAATTAAAACACTATTCTTAAATATACTAGTAGCACATATATATAATGTCACCTTATTTTACAAAAAATCATCACAAACAAAACAGCCAATAGTGTGATAGCACCTGCAATGCCACCAATAACTGGACCTAACAAGAAAAGTAAACAATTATAACACATATGTGGACATTGCATAACACTTATAACCGATCACAATACAATTATAGGTAAATCAAACTTTGTTGATATATAAAAGGACTTGAAGGTCTTATTTCTGAGAGGGATTGGTACATTTGTATTCTTCTAAAATGATGAGATAAGATGCACGAAATAATTGTGCTCATAGATGTCTATTCATTGAATTGCAAATAATACTAGATCATTAATAAGGACTATAATTAGAAGTTAATCCATCAAACGTTCTATGTTGTACACGTTAAACAAAAGAACTCAGTTATATTAAAAACAATAACTAGCTGGCAAAATCAGATGGGTAATTTAATTAAATGTAGGTACCTATATCAAAACTGGCGCTAGAATCTTTCTCCATTAACGTTGTTGTAATTACGCTTTGGTTAGAGATTGTTGATGCTTTGTCTACAAAAATGGTGAACACATTTTTTGAAAAGATTATGTAACTACAATATCTATACCGCGTTCTCCATTTTGTTTGAAACATTTAAGGTGAATATAATAAATTTGGAAAATATATTTTTGTTATTTAGACATGTGATAATTTGTTTATGGAAAGATACAAATCAATAATTACTATTATCAAATCTTTTCCTGACTTAGTGGAGTTTTTCAACAGTTTCTGTTTATACCTTGATTTGTGTCTCGTTAATCGGCTTATGAGATTTGAACATCAGTAAAATCATGTTGCTTCAAATCCAATAGCAAGATCGAAAAAATCTCTTCATTTTACCGTGACTTCTTCAATCATAAAAATTAAAAACACACACGTCTTACTTGGAGTCACGAAAAATCATACTTTGTGATTAACAGTACTGATTCCAACAACAAATGAACCTAAAACTATTTAAAATAAATGCTGGACTTATTGATCAATAACAGTTCATATCATAAAGAACTTATACCAATCATTCAAACATTAAACAATATTTCCGTGTTCTTTAATATCACGTTCAGATATAAAGAAGAAGTTTTATCATGCAAAGACCCACTTTTCAGCGCGTGCTTCTATCTCATACACCATAGTTGACTCTGACATTAAAGGAACGGACAAAAATAGATTGTTGGCTTTATGTCATGATCTTTTTCTTGGAATTGACACAAGTGGAAGATCTGTTACTCTAAAACACGTGACTATTTTAGTTTCTCGATTGGCAATATCCTAGTATGAAACTAACCTTTTGCCTCATCGTATGATGTTTAAATATATCAATGCATAAGTTACGCGTTTGAAAGTTTATTGTAAAGCAACTTCACTGACGCTTATAACGGAAAAAAATCAAAACTTCACATGTTATATGGGAATATCGCGACCGATACTACCCACTGTGTCGTTGCCACAACTCATCAGAGTCTTTTTTCTCTTTCCATTGTTACGATACTCGCTAGAATGCACCACATATCGTTTTGTTTTCATCATTTATCCAATATGCACATATGCACATAGATGTAAATATTGAACCGAGAGAAACGTTCCCTTCTAAAAAAGTATAAACCAAGCCAAAAAAAAAGCGAAACCTTTATAAAAAGTTGTGTTTGAGCCTTTCTCCGGTATTTTACGGCAATTGAGCTTTAGCTAGGGGTTGTTAAAGAAGCTGTACCTTGAAAATGGCGAAGTGCAATTGGTCCCAAAAGACATATAGCCATACATGCATATTTAGTTGTCACTAGAATTGGACTTCTGCTCTGTGAAGCAGTATGACAAAGGTCTCTTCGATCCTAGTGCGTTAAATTGTGAAAATAATGATCCCTTATCGTATTCTGAACTACATATATGTAAATTCGTCTAAGCTATGAAATTAGTTGTCATGCATGCATATATAAACGTTTATGATATAAACATAGAAATTCGAGAAAATGTGACTACTAATTCCTACTTTTTACTCAAGACTATACCTTAGGTTCAACAAGGTTCCATAATGTGTTATATATAAGGACAAATTAACTAGATAATACGTGATTTATATACCTATTCTGCACACAAACTGTAACTGGTCATTACAAGCTCGTCTGGTTATATGAAGCACTCCTTTTTCTGTTATCGTGCCTGCTAAACAATAAAGCAGTTCTTTTGTACCTGCTTCGGCTGGAAAAAAAATTAATGGTTTATCATCTGTACTTATTAAATATGCATTCATAAAGAAGTATTAATGAAGTATAGATTAAACTTACTTTATAGCTAAAATATAACAACAAAGTCCGAAACAGGTTATTACAACTTACAAAGGTCCTTTTACAACAGTATACAAATACTAGTAAACATGTGTCAACAATAATTATATATTCAGTCACTATCTATGTTAAGTAGAAAGAGTACATGATACACTATACTACAATAACTCATGTCGTGTACATTTGAATCGGTATCAGACGTTTAATTTGAGGAATGTTAAAAATTGAGTTTTAATTAAATGAATTTATTTTTCACCCAAATTTTAGTTTAGTTTCTATTGTAAACAAACTTTTGTTTCGCTATACATATTAGGTATAAATATATGGTGTGTTTTTTCACTTTGGTACCTTTGTATGTTTCAGAGCTTAGTGTGGCGTCAATTTTGCTCAGCTATTATACCTTATATACGGGTTGTTGTCTCTTTAACACATTCCCCGTTTCCATTTCCCATTCTGTACTAGTATATAAAATATCTGTAATATAATAAACAATGTGGGTTTTTATTCATTTGATAATATTGTTTTGTTAAGAATGTTTACGAAAACCTGACAAATTTCATAAGTTTTATTTTAAATAAAAATTTGAGTATCTTCATCATGTGTTGCCTTCCATTCATAGGCATATAATAGTATAGGCAAGTTTTAAAAATGTTCACAAAACAGAATTTTTCGAAAAAAACCAAGAACTTTCTTTCCCAAGAATAGATTGCCTTACGGAATTATAAATCCTCAATGGCCTTCCACTTCGTAGTGGTTTTAAAGTTTTTGATTCGAGTGTCACTGGTGAGGCTTGTGTACGCGAAACGCCAAACTGGTGTACATAATTTTAATCCTGGTAACAATGACAAGTTTATTTCATGGTGATGTCATAAAATTGTCTTTAAGTGGCTGTTATAATTTGACTAATTAACACTTTTACGAAATTGTGAAATACTTATAATACTATGCTTATGAAGACTAAACCTTAAATAATGAGTAAAACTCCTCCAAACTTTCCTTTAACTTCAAGAATAAATGAATATAAAAATTTGAAGTTCCTTGTTATATATTTTTTTTTATTTATTTATCTATATTTGCTAAAGGTAACAGTACAAAAAAAAACATAATCTAAAATATAATATTATTTATTGTTTTACCTTTTATCAGCTTAGCCTCTGTTTTGGCTCGAAAAACGTTGGTCCATGAAGGGATCCCTTCGAATGTATGATTGTTCGTTTTGCAATAAGTCTCAGGTGGAAGTAAAAGCTGAAATCTTTCCAGGCACAATTGTTTGCTTGTTAAATACGGTTTACCCCATCCAACTTTGTATCGATCATCTTAGAGGAAATATAAGTAAAATGATAAAAATTTGTGCTTAACGTTATATTTGAATACAGGATTTGATGGGCATGATGTAAAGTCAGGCTGTGCATAATGATTTCATCGAAGGTTTCTGGTAGGAAATTTGGTAAACTTTAACTTTTAACAGATTTTTAGTAAAATGAATTTAAAGAATTAAGTGCAATAATTGAAATAAATTTGAAATACATACTCCGGACTGAAGCCAAAAGGTGAATTGCAATCACATTTTGCACAGTTGTATAAATATCTTTTGCCAATGTAAGTGTATAAAATGATATTGATAATAACGTAAAGCTTTTAAATCAAATAATCTCTTTGCCAGGATATTCATAAGTAGCCTATTTTCGACAGCAGAAGTCATTAGAAAAATATATAGATACAATGTTTGAATTCCACGTTTGATACGACTTCAGCTATTTTAGAAACTGGAGGTCAAATAAGAGCCAAGGGTAAACTGCCGCTTCTGTTGATATCATTTGAAGAAGAATATATCTATAGACACCTTCGCATTACTTTAGTGTTGTCTCGTTTGTGTGCGTGTAAAAACTTTAAAACCACAAGCATTAAAATTGAAATGTTAAAGTACATTGAATAAGAAGTCTTTCATAGAAGTTTAAGAAAAATCCTTCGTCGAACATTTAAACACCACATATCATAGAAATAGAAAGTTGCAGAAAAATATTAACAACTCAAACTTACTGTATTAAAATAGCAGTTCACCATTTAAAAAAAGGAGCAGATCCAGGTTAGGAACATGTCGTTAAGTTTAAATTCATGCCGATTTTGTTTCTCATAAGTTGTAGGTGTCATTTAAAGCTCATTTAAATTTCTTATGCATATAATATATAGTGTTTGCAAAAATCTATTTTTACAAATAATAAAGAATATTTACTACATCTACTGATTCTTGCTGTATTTGTATCATCATTACAATTAGTTGACTTCAATCCATTGCTTCCTGTCTTACAGAATAAAGTCGTACATTCCCCATCGCCATTGTTAGAAACATGCCCAGTAAATACTACATATGGTAAAATGTTAAAAAAAAATTACAATTCTAAGGCATTATAAAGATTACAAAATGAAAACAACACGTTATATAAATTTCATGCGTCCGAAGCGCTTTTCTGGATTTACCTTCATCAGGAAAGCTCAAAGCCAAATAATTGAAAGCCAAGGATTTATAAGAACCGAAACAATTGAAGAGCTATATGACCAAAAATAACCTAAAAAGAGCCAAATCCGTCTAAGATCAACTTTGCCTGAGTTAAAACAAGGCATCCACGGAGAGGAAAAATGAAAAATATATATAAATGAGTTAAGAAAAATGTACAAAATTCAAGCAGTTCAACAACTAAAGTAAATGTTAACAGGGCTGTTCTTAGATTCATTTTCTTTGAAATAAATGCTTATCATAGATTTCAAACTGTGTATGAGTTAAAGAGAGGCGAAGGAATATTCAACCTCATAAGTCGAAAATAAACTGACAGCGCCACGGCTAAATTGTCTAAACAAAGTTAAAAACAAGTATTAATTACTTTTTTTCTATCAACACCAATATGGTCAATATAACTTTATATTCCATTTAAAATTTACACGTAATACGATTATTATTTTTTTGAAATGGTGTATGTGATCATGTTAAAATTCGCATTTAACAATAAATGATACCTACCTTTATAAATGAAGTAATAGTTCGAATCATTTTCTTTTATGCAACCACTTATATTGTAGGAGTTCCGTTCATTATCATGATTATGTTGACAAAAACATTTCTTTGTTGACTCCTGTAATTAAATGAAATGTCGTACTTAAAGTTTAGGATCGCCCAGAAAAACAACCCGAGTTTAAAAATTTGAGATTGAATATTTAAATTTGAAATTGGAAACTAAAGAATAAAGATTGATATTCTGAGATAAAAAAAAAAAAGAAATAATGATAAAATTTTTACGAAATGATTAATCATAAAAAACCGTTTAAGTTTTGAGATATATTCTCAGACTGATATTTGAGATTTTTTAGATCAGTCTACCACAACAGAACTGAGAACATATTAATGTGACGAATACGAATATAAAGATTAGGCTAAGGATATGTGGTATAAGTATAATTGTCAATTAGACAATTATCCATGAAACAGTAAAAGACAAAAACTTGAACAACTTTAAGTCATCAAATACCCCTTTCAACAATGAGCAAAATACGTTCCACAAAGAAAGTTAAAAAAGGTTTCGGATTTCAGATTAGAAAAAAATCAAATAGGAAAACATAGGGATCTTTTCTGTTAAAAGAAAAAAAAACATATGTAATGTATCAAAGTTAAATTTGTTTATGATCTTTCATTTGCTGCATTCATTTCGCTTTATTTGATCAAACAAATTCAAAGATATGTAATTGCAATAAGAGTTATGAAACTGAAAGAGATAAGGTAGTGTGTTCTTTTATTATGCTTCTTACATATGAGACACTGTGTACACAGCTGTCTTTCATTTGCATGTACTTCTGTGTGCATGCATTCGTTTTATATATATTGTAATGGAATCATTTGATTTTAAACCAACTATTACTAAAATTGATTGACATTTTTTATTGATCTTTGAACTTAAAATTAGCTTTAGACTGTCGTGATGATATATCTGTATTTAATTTCAATATTTAATTTAGGTTTTTGTAGAGTGCCTTTTGTGGTCTAGAAATAAAGGCAACAGTAGTATACCGCTGTTCGAAATTCATAAATCGATTGAGAAAAAAAAACAAATCCGGGTTACAAACTAAAACTGAGGGAAACACATCAAATATAAGAGGAGAACTACGACACAACAGAAACACAACATTAAAATGTAAAACACACAGAAACGAACTATAATATAACAATGGCCATTTTCCTGACTTGGTACAAGACATTTTAAGAAAAAAATGGTGGGTTTAACCTGGTTTTGTTAGAATATTGTATACAAGAATGACCGATCGACTGTTTTCTCCGTTATAAACAAAACAATCAAATATATGTAATTGGGAATTGGTGGTGCACCTTATTTGGTATAGAAATGAGTAAGGAGATGTGGTATGATTGCCAATGAGATATATCAAACAAATTTCAAATGAAGTAGATGTAAGTAAATATAGGTAACTATATGGCCTTCAACAATGAGAAAAACCTAAACCGTATAATCGGCTATAGAAGCCACCAACATGACTAAATATGAAACAGTTTAATTGAGAAAACTAACGGCCTAGTTTATAACAAAACAATTTACGAAAAACAAATATGACATAGCTGAACCAACTACAACAACTAAACTACAGGCTACTGACTTAAGACAGAATGCGGCGGGGTTAAACATTTTTCTGAGCGCTCATCCCCCCACCCTTATCATCAAATCAACCAATACGAGATCATAAGGAAAAGTCAAACACAATTCAACAATAATTGATTTAATGTAATGCCAAAACAAAAAAAATCAGAATTTGAATGTAGAAAATTAATAAAAGAGACAAAACACTAAGTTTCAATTCAGGCTATAAAATAAAGTAACTGTGCATCATTATGACCCAACAGTGATATATACATACCACTAGAAAGGGCCAATAGAATATCACAATCGAGGAAATGAAAATTGACAATATAGGAAAAGAACACTAATCCCGTTCATAATCAATTATGGCGGCACGAATAAACTATTAGACATACGTATATGAAGGTTTAAAAGTGATTTGCAAATGAGTTTTGGTTTGTATTCTTTTAGGTATTTATAAATTTTGAATTTTTATATTTTATTGGATTTTTGTTTGTTTCATTTTTTGTTGTTTTATTCAAATGTTATTGAATTAAATATAACAATAAAATTAAGTAGCCAGGAAATTCATATTCAAAGTAAATTAATACTTACACTGTAACCAAAGAACTGATATGATTCACATTGTTTTTGGCATGATACGATTGAAGGACTGTTCTTAGTATCCTGTCTGTCTGGCACTGAATAACAACCTGTTTAAAACACACTGAACTTAACACCGTCATAATCAAACATTAGCAACATGAAACATTTCTGTGCGTGATTTATAGCAAATTATGCAATGCTTTGACGAATGAAACATAATAAAATAAATACAACTTTGGTAAAGAAATGAGAATAAAAAAGAGTACAATAGTCCTGTGATTTTTAATTTTCGCTTCTTGAACATTCAATACTATAGTTTAGCGTAATGATTTGCATGAAATCTGTTCTGTTGAAGAAGTAAGACACTTATATATTTTTAGTAGTTTACAGAGTAAGTGTAAGTGGTGTGCTGAGACATGTTTTTAAAAATACCGAGTATATCTCATATGTTTATGTATGTATGTATACTATTAAGATATGTTCCCTTTTATTTTTTCCGAGAGTATCATCTTTTGTATAGTTAATGATCTATGGAACTTAATTCCAAGTTATCAAAAAGTTGCCTATCGCATTAAAAGCAATATGAAAACAAATACATACACTGACAGGATGATAACAGATGATAAAGCAGTGGCAGATCCAGAAATGTTTGTAAGGGGGGGGGGGGAAGGGGGTGGGCCCGCTGACTGATCTAAGGGGGGGGGCCTCCAGTCACGCTTCAGTGATTCCCTATACAATCAACCAAAATTTTCCCACAAAAGGAGGGGGGGGGGGGGGGGCTGGGCCTCACAGCCCCCTGGATTCGCCTATGTAAAGGAATGACCATCATCCAAACTGCTCAGGTTTTTTGTTCATAATAAAGGGTGTTGGTTTGGTTTGGGATATACGTCAATAAGACAATCATCGAAAAACAAAACTAACTTACAATAGATGTAGATGGCATCATCATGATTGAACGCAATAATGAATACCATCCAATTCTGTCTGAATAAAGTAGTACATGATTTCAACATTCAAGTGTAAAAATGAATTCAAAGTAAAAGTTACGAAATTATTACACTAATTTGTTTTATTTAAACCAGAAATTAAAGTTCCCGTTGTCCAGAGTTGCCAGCAGAAGTAAATGTCCTTTGTACAATTACAATCAAATATGATAATGACATTCTGTTTTATTAATAGACGTAATTTTCTGAATGATTGGAAGTATGAGCTTGGATTCCCAAATGTCTTTGTAAAGCTATCAATAGTTTTACATTTTGTTAAATCATTAGGTTAAGTGAAAACAAAATGTATCTCATTGGTTTGGTATTCTGTATGTTACTACTGTTCACATTATCATTTGGATATTTAACATGATTAAGTTATTTCTGCTATCAAAATTACCCGCTTTTTCCTACCTAGAATTTCAATCCATGATGTAGTTATACGGTAAATAGCCATTCCAATCCAAAATTCTTTATCTTGCAGCATGGCAATATTCTTCAACGTCTTTTCGTCAAACTCTAATCCATTATTGCCACATCTATCAGAAGCAGCTTTCCATGTTTTACTGTCTGTGTGAAAAGCCTGATCAGATGGAAAACTATATGCTAAAATAAAAATATAAATATACTTTCTTTCTATGCTTTTATGCAATGACATTTAAAGTTTATAAAATTTTGTTGTTATAAACTTTTTTGTTTATTTTGAAATATTGATCTATTTCAATGCATACCATGGTCTACATTAGAGGCAAAAGTTAAAGATAAAAGCAGCAGGTAATTTGTTAACATTAATTTGACCAATTAGTTTGGTAGATTAAAAGCGGTATCTTAGAGTATATGTAAATTTGTGGAGATTATGTTTTGTACACGAATGAAATGCGATTAGGTTGAAAGGAGTGGGTATACACAGCAGCAAAAAAAAAAAAAAAACCTGGATTGCAGTACGCCTTGAAGACAAACGGCAACAGAGGTGAAACATTTTAAGGTCATCATTTGGTCTTCATAAATCGTCAAAAATCTATGAAATTTATGTGTTTTTAAAGATTTAAATAATTGTCTTCAATATCAGACAAAACTGTTGCCAATAAAATATGGGCATATCTCTACTCTGCAAACTAAACACCTGTTTATCAACTGTGATGTACCAATACAGAAATACATCAGGATCTAGGAGCAAAATTAACAATTACAGGAAAAGAAATAAACGTTCGATTGGCTAACTACTAAACAAGAAGATGTGGGATAATCCAGCGACACAAAATACACAAATAATTGATTAATATTCTTTTTGTAGTTGACACATATGACTAATAGTTTTCACTTGTTCAGTTTTGGAAGTAGAATAAAAAAAGATGCGATATATATTGACATTGATTTATAATTATACACATGTATGTATATATCTGTTAGTTTTTGTAAACAGGAAAATTAAACAAAGTAAAGAATTATAGTCAAATTCCCGTCTGGACAGTTTCATTCACGAGGGCATTTATATAGCATGTTTTAATAATACATGTAAAAGAATTTTTACACTATTTCACCTAAATCCTTAACAGCATAGAACAAGACAATCAGCTAATTTCTTATACAATGAGAATTTTTGACAATATCATATTGAATTAAAACTTTTTTTTTCGTTACTTACCTATCACAGATTTTATATCAAAAACACAAGCTAATAGGATAATCCACAACATGTCTTCAGCCATTGTCATTACCTCTTAAAACTAACAGTAACACAACACTGAAGTAGATGTGATACATAAAAGTTATTTAAATCCTTTAAAGTAAGTTGTTTATGAACTAATGTTTACAAATGACGACACATTAAGGAAGTTGAATAACTTTTCAGCAGTTTTACTTGTGTGTTACATATTTTGTTCACTAAAACTACTGATAATGCATATACAAGTAAAATGACAATGTATTACTTTGATATCATTCTTGTATACTGAATATCCCTATAATCATTCGTCTGTCTTGCCAAATCTAAACAAACACAATGACGCATATATAAATGCATTCCTTAGTAGTATAGCTATCCTTTAACACTGGTTCATGCGTTATTTTCTTTTATTACTCAACACATAAACGTCGTCTCAGCTGATGTTGTTAGCACAAGAGAAGCCTTTATCAATGTATTTTTGTAGCCCCTGTTTATAAGATGGCCAGCAAGGTCTTGTAATTGCTTTGTCACAGAATCATTGGTGCAAGAAATCCGCTTAATTTGCTTAATTTAAAGGACCTGACTGTTAGGAATGCTTCTTGCACAGTATATATACACATGTATATATACACATCTATATATGTGACAACTTAACGACAGACGTTCCCCATCGGATAACCAATGGTTATACAGGGCGAACACAATAATTAATGTATACTTCGTTTCAAATTTAGCCCAAAAATGTTAATCTTTATTTTTGTTCTTCTTTCATCGGGATTCGAACACCTGCCCTAGACAACTGGACCAACTAGTCTATAACACTTCTCGTTAGTCGAGTAATGCCTTTCCTCGTCGGCTTTATCTAGGGTTGTAACACAGTACATAATGTATAGTAGCAAGCAGATGGTTGACTTTGCAGATATGCTCTTTTTGTCTGTTGTAATGGGTAATAATTCAAATATATATATTTGTAACATTTGTTGCCGATGTGTTATGTTATTTCGTAAGAAAGATTTCATACAACAGTCATTTAGATAGATCGTATTAGGAAGAGACAACTTGTTGAATTTAAAGCTTGGCCTACCTAAAACGTGGGTTGTTGAATTGAGTTTACCTAGCGACACGTAGCGGAGATAGGAAAACGGATATCTGCATCAGTAAAATAATGTTTCACTTATGCCAAGCTTGAATTACAATACGATTACTTCTACTTTAATGTCAAGTTATCAAGTCATTCTATTTAAATAATTATTTCGGTGTAAAAGATTCATTAAATTAAAATTCCACAAAATGATATCGTCTTTTTTGACAACCAAACAAGGTGACATCATCTAAGTGCTTTCGAAGTCAACGTCTAACTCGAAGTCTGTACTAATTTTCGTAGATTGAGAATTATATTTTTACGAATATTTGATTTCGCGGTATGTCAAAGTCTATATAAAATTTGTACTTTCTTTACACACGAAATTCACAAAATTTGGTATCCCACGACTTGGGGATAGATACGTGACCTACCATACAGTTTATTCACTGTTGCATTAAGATTAAAGTTTTGGCACTAGTTTAATAATGAAGGTATTGGTTCATTATTGAAGGTAGAATGGTATTTGGGATTCATTTCGAACACTGACCTGTTACTATATGTTGTATTGTGACTTCTGTATGGATTGCATCTTTAACTTGTTTTGACTTTAGCGGAACAGTTTACTGGATTACTCCTTAGTTTTGTTCTATTGTATAATTAACAAAGGGAGTCAAGGATTTCTCTTGTTGCCTGGTAGGTTCCCTATTGTCGTATACACAAATTTATTACTAAGACACATAAGGCTTCACCTTATTTAGTGTATACCATTCCAACAGGGATTTCGTTTCCACAAATTAATTTAAAAAATAAAGAAGTTTGGCTATTTCATGAATAATTCTTCTCATGAACGGATTATCTTGTCAAAATCGTACGGTAATATTGTTTGTAAAGGTTAGTGGTGCTTATTCTATTAATTCTTATATTTTTAAATTAATAGATTCATTTTACTTGGTTATTGAAAACAAAATTAAATATAATTCACCATACATTGTATACAAAGCGAAAGAAAAAACACGATAATAAAACTACTGAATTTTTCGCAGTGAGTATGTCTAAAAATTTAACTGAAAGACTGATGATAACTTAATAATTTACTGTTTAGTCTTTTAAGCTGTTTACATCAAAATGATCGTTTAATGAGGGCTTCTATTTAACTTGTTTAAATTATCCATGTAAATGATTTTTGTCGCTATTTCACCTAAATCAGAAACAGCATAATTAAAGTTCATCACTGTTTTTTATACAAAAAGTAAAATCACAAAAATAATGAACTCCGAGGAAAATTCAAAAAAGAAAGTCCCTAATCAAATGGCAAAATCAAAATCTTAAACACATCAAACGAATGGATAGCAACTGTCATATTCCTGACTTGGTAAGGCATTTTCTTATGTAGAAAATGGTGGTTTGAACCTGGTTTTATAGCTAGCTAAACCTCTCACTAGTATGACAGTTGCATCAAATTCCATTATATTGACAACGATGCGTGAACAAAACAAACAGACACAATAGGTAAAAATGTCAAAAATAGGGATACAGCAGTCAACTATGTGTTATCATCTTAATCACTATAAAATCAAACAAATGTAACAAAGAAGCACACAAAGGCATACATCAAATTTAACATCCTCATTTTACTTTTTTATTTAAAGATTGTATTCATCTATGTAAAATCCACCCATAAAGGATGGAAGGTTTTAAGTACAGGCGTAGACGTCACACAGGTAGATATAAAATAATTTTGTCGTTCAAAGTATGACGGGATACATAAGTACAGAGTCACGTCAAATAGATATCACAAAAACAGACTTAACAGTAAAAGTAATATTAATAAGGACAAATAAAATAATACTATAACACGTCATTAAGATGATAAACAACGTCAGAACGCAGACTCTATACTTCCAGACTATCGTGTATTGTTTGTGAAGTTGATACGGAATATTTATCAACAAGGTCTTGGTACCTTCCGATGAACTTTTTTTTAGAAAAAGAACGAGACGTTCGTTGACATACCCTGGTTCATCAACTTTCTGCTCATACACTGGTGACGTTTTACAAAGTCTGAGTAGGAGCTGCAAGCTCTTGAATACCGAATAAATTGGGAAATGTATATCCCATATGCAGGTGAAGTTGGTATATTGTTACTAAGGTTGGGGAAATTGATAATTTAAAAATTAGAATCGTCTCGTTTGTCATAGATTCTGGTACTGAGATGACTGTGTATGTCAAATTCGAGGTATAAGTCTAAAAATGAGGCGGAGGAAGTCGTGTTGGTAATTTGTAGCCTATTTTAGACACCAGATATCCACTGTTGGCTTTACAAGTGTTATATGCTTCTATCCTGGTGAACAGTCAACGTGGGGAAAGCAAAATGAAAAGAGTAGCATCGAATAAAAATCCTCAATTGATGAATACAAAACTCGTAACATTTACCAAAAAAGCGATATGTAATTAAATGATTGAATAATTAAGCCCGTTTTGGATAAAACTATGTTGCATGAGGTTCACGGGAACTAGTCCAGGAAAAGCATCCCATTTTCTATTGGTAAAATATAAGTCGTGAAAATAACGTAACATTGTATAGTTTACCATGACAATTTTATTCGAATTATCATACCTTAAGAAAGATTCAACAAATTAGGTTTGGCAAAAAGGTTAAAAAAAAGGGTGGTAAATACATTGTAAATGTACGCCTCTCCTTGCCGACCTCTTCTTATTTCGGAGTACCATCAGACACTAGTCAAAAACAAGAAGATGAAAGAAGCCAGATCATTTAATTTCACATTCATGTATATTGATAATATTCTTTCCATTAACAAAACAAATTTTTCTGATTGGGTTCCATTAATATA